TGAAGTACTGTTGGAGATAAAGGTATCAAAAATGAAAAAGCTGATTAGATGGCAATAAATCTCCAGATGGCACTCATCAGAGTTCTAAAGGAACTGAAGGGTAGAACATCTAGGCTACTATTAAAGCAAAGGACTGGAGGATGGCCAATTATGGTGCCAACTTTTAATAAAAATAGAAAGGGTAAATCCAGGAGTCCTGGGATTTCTTGCTGAGAAAACTGTGTTATATAGAATTTAGGGGAGTATACATTGATGGGGAGAAATTAGTGTGGCAAAGGTATTCTCTGAAAGCACCCACAAAATAATCGAGCAAGGAACTCATGGAGAGACAAGGTGGGTGATGTAATTTCTTTTATTTGTTTGTTTGTTTATTTATTTTTACCTCATCCACCTTGTCTTTCTAATATCCTGGGACCGACATGGCTACCACAACACTGCATGCAACAAAGGAACTCGTGGACATAACTTGTTTACACACGCCAGAAACTGTTACTGAAAGTCCTTTCTGCAGTGCTATTGAGGAAACGTGGGTTGCGAGACGAGGCCCTGTCATGCAGTATAGGCTGTTTAAGATGGAGGCGGTAAAACATGGGCAATTCTTACAGTAGAAAAGGATTAAGGGCTAGACTGTGGCATTAGCCACTGGTCTCTGTTGAGTGTGATACGGAGATGCACTGCCCCATGGGGCGCACCGGAAGGATTGTACCTTATCACACAGCTACACCATTCATTTGATGGTACATGCTGCTCCTCCCAGTCAGCTCCATGGCCTTGTCTCCTCCCTGCCTCCTTTAAGGTGGATCATGCACCCGGGACAAAATGGAAGGAGCATTCTCTATGCTCCCAGTGACTGCAGTGCTCCCTGGCCCTTGCACAACTCATCCTTCTTCTCTGCCTCTGTGCAAGAACCAAGGACAATCTGATCCTTATGCTGGAGTGCCTCATGGACCAATACTACTATATGTTGGTGTTGGTCCTGCTTTGAGCGGGGGATTGGACTAGATGACCTCCTGAGGTCTCTCTTCCAACCCTAATATTCTATGATTCTATGTGGTCTTCACTCAACTTCCCAGTCAAAAATAGCGAGAGTTGTGAAAAGTCCCAGAGCTTCTGACAATGGATGGAACCACTTCTGCCTGAGAGAGCCTGGCTGGGAGGCAGTGGCAGCCAGGCTGCCGGGGACAGGGGCCCAGCATGCCATGGGGGGAAGGAGGCTCCAGATCACTCAGCCCCTGTGAGTGAGCTGGGGGCGGGGGGGGGGGGCGGTGGCGGCCTGCTGCCATTCCAGCTGCAGGGGACAGGGGCCAAGCAAGCCAGAAACATGCCAGGGGGGCATGACTGGTATTTAGGGAATAAAGCACATGGATACTTTTACAATGGTATTATACATCTTGGAACATGGTATCATGCCATCTCCTCAATTACTGGAATCACCAGAAGGAAAGTAGCAACTGGAAAGATCAGAGGTATTAGAAGAAGATGCGTAAAGGAGCGTGTAAAAAGACAGGGATTATTTAGTTTGGAAAGAATAAAAATGAGACTGAGAGCATAGGGTGAAGGTCTGTAAAACAATGAGCAGCATAGTATAGTGACCTCCTGAGGTCCCTTCCAACCCTGATATTCTATGATTCTAAACACTCCTATTTACCCCTTTCCCATACCACAAAAACAAATGGACACTCTCAGTTGGAAGGCAACAAATTTAGAACAGATACAAGGAAATACTTTCTAATTCAACATATAATTATTTCATAATAATCAATGCTACAGGACATGACTGGGACAAATACAATTATATGAATTGGAAGAACATCTGTTACACTACCTAGCATTAAAAAACTGACAAGGTCTATGAGTTCTCTTGCTTCAGGGTGTAAACTGATCATCAGCTGGGGATTCTACTTTCCAAATTAATGTGGGTAATGTACATAATGTTATGACTTGTATAGCTATTCTAGAATTGGATGGAACTGCTTATATACAACTTTAGTGTAACTACACATGCATTACATGTTGTATGCGTTTGATCTATTTGCAAGGTTGACAGCGGGGGAAAGAACAATTTATTTTAAAATATATTCAACTTAGGCTGCCATCAAAACAATAGGAGTAGAAAATCATTTTTAATAGACTGTAATATGTGAGATTAAATAAAAGCAACTGTGTAATATTTCAAATGTCTGAATGAATTTCAAGACACTTGTTTGACCTGTATTGCTGTTTTCTGTTCAACTTTGGTATAAGTAAAAGTGCTTTCCAAAGCAACTAAAAACATTATATGAATGCAATTTCTTGCCATGCAGACATCCCTGGATGTCACTTAGTAAGAAAATTAATACATCTGAAATATTGTTGAAGTGTCTTTAATCATTTCACATGATCTACAATGATCAAAAGTCATCCTTGAACTCTGATAATATCTGATAGGCCGAATTCTTGACTTGGCTTATGTAACTGTCTTGGGCAGCCAACTCCTGGTCCTGTCACTCTCTTCTCCCCCAGTGGAGCACAGAGGACAGGCTCTGTTTGCTGTAGCTTGTGTTGCTTTCTCCTGTGGCTTGGGGGTGGGAGAATGCCGTTGAGCTCATCTGGCCTCCCAGCCTACCCCTTCCAGACTAGTGATCAGCTGCCTGCCGTGGGTTGAGAGAAAGGAGGAAGCGTGCCATGGAACTGGCTCTTTCTCTTTTGGGCCTCCATGGAGCAATTTACAGAAGCAGAGGGAAGCAGATGGCCCTGACCTTGCCATGGGACATTGTTGAGGCCAAGAAGTTAATAAGATCCAAAAATGTATTAGATATTTATATGGATATCAGCAATATCCAGAATTATCATAATTACTAGCAGCAAAACATAGACGGGATATTAAAGCTTGAGCATAAGGGTTTAAGCCAATCCCTAACTATTAGAGACCAGGCTGATACCCTACGTGCGGGGCAGATTACCCCACATCTGTCTACTGCAGGGTTCTTACAACTTCCTCCAAAGCAGTGGTTCCCAACCTTTTCTCTGCCATGGCACACCTCGAGCTCCAGGGGCTTTTTCCCCCTCTCCCCGCCCCAGCCAGCAGCTGCGGGAGGGAATGGGAGGGGCAAAGGAGCCGACCCATCGCTCACACAGGAGCAGAGTGGGGAAGAGAGGGTGATTGAGCTCTGATTGGTTGCTCAGCCCCAGAGGAGGCGGGGCAGTGAGACAGACAGCTAATTAGAAGGCAGCTTTCCCCTCCTTGTCCTCATATGTAGCTTTTCAAAAAAACCCGCGGCATCCCGCTTCGGACCTGATGGCAGAATGGTGCTGGACACTGTCCGTGATGGGACACTGGACTATATGGATCTTTGGGCTCTAATCCAGTCTGGCAGTTCCTGTGTTCCTCTGAACTATTAACCACTGCCCGAGACTTTATGTAATGCTTTCATGTTACACTCTTGTAGGTAGTTTGATATCAGATATTCCTTTACCCTTTTTGTTTACGGTGCATGTGGAACTGCATTTGTATGGGACTCGTTTGCCTTTTTCCGAAGTAAAGATTTTGAAGGATTTTTTTAAAAATGGTTTCCCCTTCCCTACCTCTGTATTTTCTATTGCAAAACATTTTTATTTGGCTCGTCTTATAAATATGTACACTTAATCATAGGCGCCGGAGCACCCATGGGGAAAAAATGGTGGGTGCTGAGCACCCACCAGCAGCCCCCTATCAGCTCCCCCAGCCTGCCAGTGTTTGCCACCCGCCAGCAGGCCCTGCTGATCAGTGCCTCCCCCTCCCTCCCCGCACCTCCCACCCCGCCCACCACGTCACGCTGTTTTGTCAGCATGCAGGAGGCGTTTGGGAGGGAGGGGGAGGAGCGAGGGCGTGGCGTGCTGGGGGAGGGGAAGAAGTGGAGTGGGGGAGGGGCCTTAGAGGAAGGGGTGGGGCAGGGCCTGGGGCAGAGCGAGGGGTTAGGCACCCCCTGCCACATTAGAAAGTCTGTGCCTGTGCACTTAATTGTGAGGTGAGTGAGAGGAAGACCTCAAGATGCATGTGTGGGAAAAATGGTTACTTCAGCATTGTTTTCAAAAGAATGGTGGGCGCAATATTTTTTTTAAAGGTGAAAAAATACAAAGCTGACTTTCTAGCCTCTCTTTAATTGTTCCTTGTTTGCTTTAGCCAGAAATGTTTCACTAGCTCTAGGCTAGCAAGGGAGGGTGCTAGAGGCGTAGGAAGTGAGCAGCCTCTGCCTATGGACACATCTCTGTCTTCCAGAAGGGATGGTACTCAAATGCAGTAAGATGAATTCTGCTTTCGTTCTTCCATGGCTACTAGTTTCACTTCTGTTCTTGGCCAGCTCATGTGTACAGGTGCAAACCCATGAGAACCTGAACCTGGTCTATGAATTTGCAGTGCGATTCGGACATGGGACATGTGGAATCGGGTTTCCTTGAACAAGAGCCTGTGAAAATAGGTTACGATTGAAAAATCTCTGCAACTATTTTGAATGGAATTTGCACATCTTGCCAGCACAAGGATATAGCAGGAAATTTTTAATCAGGGAAGAACAATCATAGAATTGGATGGATGTATACCAGATACTGTCATACCAGACCACCACTGCTACCAATGAGTATATTTCATCCAGCATGTCCTTTTAAACTATATTATGCACTATAATCTATGTCCAGCGAGACAGAGAGAGAATACTCCTGGCTTTAGGTGTTTGTGTCTGAATACATTAGGTTTGAGTTTCATTTCATGCCAATGTTGGTCAGGCATAATTCAGCAGAAATCAGTGGAGTTGCACTGTTGTTACATAAATTCAGTATGTGCCTCTGTATTTATGTGGCTTGAACAGTTGGACTCACTAAATATTTAACTTAAGGCTCCAATAGCTACGTAAAGATCTCACGGATAGCTAAATGGTTCTGAAATTTACACAACCCTGTTTCGTTTGTTTAGTTGTTTGTTTTTCCTGGAGAGAAGCCCCATTGGGATCTGTGCCCTGACTGATTTCATGACTGTCTCATTTCAGGGCTTCAGAGAGTGCGCCAGCTAGGAGAAAACACAAGATACTTCCGGCGGAGACTGCACGAAATGGGCTTCATTGTATATGGAAATGATGATTCCCCTGTCGTCCCCTTGCTCCTTTATATGCCTGGTAAAATAGGGTAAGTACTGAAATGTGCCTGGCAGGCAAACAAACTACACAAACATTATATGGAGGGCACGTTTTAAAGTATTCAATCCGGCTACTTGCTGTAGATGTTGCAAGGGAGAAAATTCTTCCTTTCAGTGAACTTGCCATAGGTAGCTTTAAATTGAATCCTGGCCTTAATCTGGAGCCAGCTTCTCCGTACACTAAATGAGTGTATAGAATTTTTAAAAAATCAAAACTCTTCTTTCTCTTTCTATTGATGTTTTGCAAAAATTATAATAATTTTAAAAGCTGCGCATTGTCTAATTATTTTGAAGGTATTTCATTGTTTTCCATCCAAGATATGACATGTCTTAGACTGACATACATTTCACCATTTTACGGTATGTGATGATATCTCTTGATTGACTTATGTCTTGATTGACTATTACCTTCTCAACGAAGGCCCAGAGCGTAGGGAGTTGGAGTCTTTGCAAAAGTAGCTCTCGGGAGGAGCCTTTGTTTCTGAGATACCATAAATATGGGTCCTACCCTGGCCCATCAGACCTGCTAACAGTAAAGCCATCCGGATAATTGCTTACTCATTCCCATGTGATCACAGGCCAGCTCTTGCACGGAGAACTTGTGCCCTTCTATGGCCAAGCGTCCATCAGCGTTTCAGGATCTGTGGGGAATAGTGAACTCCCCTGTCTCCCAGTTACACCAGGATCCTTTTAGTCTGAAGTTTAACTATTTATCAAGCCCTCTTGCAAGGACTATCTGACGGGCAGAAAGCAGGTCTTATGAGCTATAGAAAATCCTCAGCCCAGAACACAACCCTAATAACTGGCCTGGGGGGAAATGGGAGACAACTTTAGTTGCAAAATCATCTTGTTTCCCTCTTGAGGCATTGGAGATCAACCAAGATGTCTCCCCTTGCCATCTGGAAGTTCAGTGGTCAAGGTGCAGAGACTTCTCAGCATTGGGACCCCATCTCTGGAACTCCCTCATGAAGTTGTTTGTCAGAGCCCCTCTGTAGCTGTCCTAGTGGCTCATGCATGCTTCCTCTTTGGATCAGTTTATTTGTGGCCACAGTCTCCTCTACCCATTTGCACAGATTGGTAGAATGGGTTGTAGTTGAGGCCAATTAATCCACGCTAAGTGTTATGAATCGATCTCTGTCCCTCTGCATTACTTACCTCACAAATATGAACAATTTTCTCCTAGGGACACTGAGCAGGTAGCTGTTCTCCCCATTTCACAGGTGGGGAAATGACACACAGAGGTTAAATGACCGACCCATTCAGGGAGTCTTTGGCAGAGCCAGGAATTAGCCCCAGGTCTCCCAAGTCCCAGTCTCGTGCTGCAGCGACAAGACCATCGTTCTACTTTATGTTCAGTGCCTTGTTCAATGAAATTTGATCTAAATGGCATTCATTTTTATTCATCACCATCTGTTCGTCTAAATATTTGCCTGATATTGAGTCTGATTCTTGCTGCCTTACACTTTACATAGACATTTGCACCTGTGCTCAGTGATTGCAAATTGCTCCTAATCAGAATTCTCTGCTCACTTACATCAGTGATTGTATCTGACAGTCGCTTTGCAAAGATGAAAATGACTACACAAGCTGCAAGGCAGTGGAGAGTTGATGGTAAAACGCCTGTTGACTTCAGTAGGGCCAGGATTTTTTAACCATTGTTTTTCACACTTGAGTGTTTTCTCTTTGTGCTCAGTTTATTGGCAATAACTCACTTTTGTTTTCTTCTTTCCCTCCTCCCAGGGCTTTTGCAAGGCGCATGTTAGCCAAAAATATTGGGGTGGTTGTGGTTGGATTTCCAGCTACTCCTATCGCAGAATCGAGGGCTCGGTTTTGTGTGTCGGCTGCACATACACGGGAGATGTTAGACACGGTAAGAACAGCAGATGTCCTGGTGAAATTAACAACAGATGCTAGAGGGGCTGGGAGAAGCTACCAGTCTGTTACTTTGAATCTCAATAATTCATTTTGCTTTTGATTTTCTTGATCGTTGTCACTTGATATTTAAAGCCTAATTACAGATTTTATTTAAAATATTAAATTATACAACAATTAACTGGACTATATTCCCCTGTTCCTAAGAGTGACTAATCTGTAATAACTAATAAAGACCTACATGAGGAGCACACCAAGACCAAAGTTAACTGCTTTGGCAGGAAACCCTAATTGATGTGGTAATAATTGCATATAAGGGTTTCAATGCCCTTATTTTTATTCCATATTTATGTGAGTTACATTGCAGCAGCAAAATATGGCACCATCTTGGGTTTTGTATGATGCATATGGAACTTTCAGTCCAATATTTGGAGTTGTTTGTATCTAACAAGAGGGCTAAAAGGTGCAATATGACCAGTTTGATCCCTGTATCTTTACCTGCTTCCAGAAGGGCAGTTACACTTCTGTTGAGATGTCCATTATAAACTTCTGTTTCCATCTGTTCATAACTTTCTAAAAAAAAGTATTTTTAAGATTGAAATTTTCCATCTTCCTCTTAGTCCAAGGGTAAGGAAGCAAATTTGGATGAAATATGTTCATCCATTTTTGAGTTAGATAAGGGTGGAACTTTTTTGGTTGCCAACAGATTTTAAGGCTCTTTTTGCATGAGCATAACTCTCAGAAACTGATGCATTTTATACACTCAGTGTTTTCAAGTGGGAAGAGCCCTGATCCTGCTTCTGACTCCATGCAGCTGGCCCCTGTGCCTACGCAGACCTCAGTGGGACTTGATGTGCGCACATGGATCCAAACACAGTTGGAGGACTGAGACCTTAGTCCTATACTCAAGACTAATTTCCAGGCCAATTTAGACCATTTTAGAAACAAAATTGAAAAATCTGGTTTGCACATGTGCGGTAGGAAATTCCTGCTAATCTTAAAACTACAGTAAGGAACAATAGACTACTCAACACGAAGTTAAAATTAAATGGTAACATATATCTATATCTATATCAATGCTTAGTTACCGAGGTGTAGTTAGGTAGGCTGTTATTTCGCTGTGTAGTTCCAGAGTTGCATAAGCTTTTGATTATGCAACTGCAGTAATACACAGTGAAATCACCCTGGAGATTAGGAGCTTAATCTCTTTATTTCGCTTAGGTTTTCTTTCCTTAAAACAGCAGCATTAAACACATGAAAGTTACAATTTTCAAGCACTGATCTTGCAATTCATCTCACCGCGGTATGCAAATTGGGGCCTTGAATGCCACTCCCCGGCAGTCACCTTTTACAAGTTTTGCCTTTGCAGCTAGGTATCATTGCCATAGTATTTGCCACACTATCTAAACTTCCCTATGCCTTGTGTGGGGAATGGGAAACACTCTGGGTAGTGTGGTTTAGTTACCTCAGGCAGCTGAAAAGTTTTTAAGGACAACCACTGCGTGAATGTGCTGTAAATCCAGTGTAAAATAAAAACACACAGCTCTTGTGCCATTTTTCATCACAACAACCACTGGCTTAAACCACTGGCAGTCATACATAAGGGGGAAGACCCATAAATGGGAAAGTTTTCAAGGATGGTAATTTTTTTTTAATTACTTTGCAGGTCCTTCTTTATTTAGCTCATTTTACCACATTCTTAAATGGGGGGGAGGAAGAGGGGGGGAGTGAGGGGGGACTTTTCTATTCCTGAGCATATGTTACTGCGTAAACAGGATTGAAAGAACAGGTGCTATATTTTTACTTGTTATCAACCTATTGGCTGCTCTTCAGCGTGGGCTTGAGGCTGCAAGGTTCTGATCTTCTCCAGGGAGATTCTGAATCCCCTTGCTTTCTATTGAATCCAATAGGAGTTGAGGATGGGCAGCCACTCACATTATAGGCTGAGGCCAGCTGTGATATTAATACAAGCACATTTTCCACTTTTGCTCTCAAACCACGTAATCCTGTTCAAGATATTCCCAATGACCCTGATAAACATCTGGGCCTGGTCCACCACTGGAGTTATACAATGGTAAAACTAGCCTTTGGGATATGTGTGCAGATACAGCAATGTTGTCTTATGTTATGTATGTGCCTTTTTCATGTAAAAATGAGAGTTCTTAGTTGGAGTATTTTTCTCCCTGCATGTCTGAGAAATACACACAATTTAGCAACAGTCGGCTAATAAATATTGCCATTGGCTAATACAACATAGCCTACCATAGAGCCAAATTCTGTTCTCAGTGATGCTAATGTAAATCTAGTGTCGCTCAATTGATTTCACTGACATTCACCAGTGTAGCTGACAGCAAAATTCACCCCTTTGGCTTTATTCCTTTTTCTTTGATTTTTAAACTGTGAAAGCCACATATGTTTTTGTGTCACTTGCTGTTCAAATGTAAAGCAGAAGTGAGAACAGCTTTAAATCCTTTTAAGATAACTGATACAGTGTAATGATCTTGCAGGTCCTGAATGCCCTTGATGAATTGGGCGATTTTCTGCAACTGAAATATTCACGGCATTCCAGGTCATCTCGTCCTGAACTATACGATGAAACAAGCTTTGAACTTGAAGATTGAGTTTCCCACCCGTGAAGAGAACATTATGATATTACAAAAAAGAGAAAAAGCCTAAGAAATATGAATGCATTTCTTCCCTTCTAAGGGCAATTTTTATTTCTCTATTAATTGACCTGAGGGGAGGCACTGTTGTTGCGTTTTACTATATCAAATTTCCATGTGCAAGAGACTATGGCTACAGATCTACTCCCATGGAATTATCTGCTTTTTAAGGTATTTTTTATGCAAGCAGACTCTGTCCCATTGGTCAAGTTGCCACTGTGCAGCTTTGGTGCCTTTTTATGAAGAGGCTTTGGCTAGTTCTTAATTCTGGTTGAAATAATAAATTTGAAACCTGAATGGATTCCAGTGTAGTATGTTAGCTTACATGAGTTTCAACTGTCAGACTGGATAATACCTAATGCATCAATGTGGACTGCCCTGGAGGAAATGGCAGATAAGGATCTTCTTACCTAATTTCCACATTTTGAGTTCTCAAAGGACAGCAGGTGTCAGAAGGACATACTAGCGCATGAGAAAACGTTCATACAGAAACCTACTCATATTAAATATTTCTGACAGAAACCTGTGTTCTTGGTCACTTAATGTTGCAAACAAAACCAACCAACCATAACGTTGTATAGTTCATTGTGAAGAAAGAACACACAACAGGCTTCCTAGTGTGTGGACTCGGAGGTTGTGTGCGAATTGAATCTTTTCGTTAAAGGTGGAAATTCTTTTCTGCTGCAGCATTCAATCCGCAGCCTTCTGCATCTTGTTGCCACTGAAGTTCCTCGGCAGGCTTGTTCCCTTTTCATGTAGCAGTAGTAAACAATTTTAATAACCCTTTAACTTTCCTGTAAAAGCATTGATCAAAACACTCGGATACTTGCAGTTCACAAACTGCAGCTGACATTTATGAGCCCACTACCAAGTTTCCCGAACTACTTATGAGCTTAATAAATGCACTAACTAGTAAATAATGGTGAAGCTGCTCGTTACACAGAATATGAAGTCCAGGGTACCCTACACAGCTCTGCCACCTGTTAACTTGAAGACTCTTTGATTTCTGAATGTACTAAGTTTCCCTAGTTGATTTAAGTATCACTCGTTGAACTACTGTGTTCTCTCTTTATGCTATTATGATGTATTCAGGTGTTTTTATTTAAATGGTGTTTATTTTTCAAATGCTTGATTGAAATAATTGAGCATATGGCCCACAGTCGGAAAGAGAAGTTATGGTCAGAGTTCCATTTCCATTGCATCAGACGAATCTACAAAGATTCTTGAGAAAACATTATCCTCCTCAGCTTTACTTGTCTCACATCAGACTGAGCAGTTTATGAGGAGATTTTTGCAGACCATAGTGGTTGTATGACACCAGTTAAAAATGGTTCTGTAGCTTTAACAAACTCCCAACCATTCCACAATATCAAATGTCATTGTAAACACGTCAGATCAAGAGATGTTTAGCTTTCTGTTGCACAGATGTACCACACTTTCATGTTCTTGAAAGCTCTGGTGTAAACTTAACCCACAGCTGCAATATTAGATTTAGGAACAGAACAATTAAATTGTGGCATACCAATTGCAATATATTACTCCCTGCTTGTTAAAGCAGCTTTAAGGATAAAACAAGGCTGATCAGTTATGAGGTCCTGGGTTTTTTGTTGTCGTTGTTTGTTGTTATGCGAGTTAATAAAATCCAGTGGTGCTATAACTTTAAGAATTGATTACAAAACATTCCATGACATCAGAGGTCAGCTTAGAACATGTATATTGGGGGACAAGGAGAAGTACATAGTGTCATATGATTGTTCACTCTGAACTTGAGAAGCACTAAAGAGGATCGAGGGAGAAGATGTTTGTGCATCAGAGTAAATGCACTGCAGAAATATTTAAAATGTTCTTGGGTTGTTTTTTTTACATTTAACGTGATTTTTGTTTCTTTGTTAAGCCCCCTATTTGCAAGATACAGCTTCCAGGCAATTTGCCTGTAGGGCGAGTGTGTGCTTAACACTACTCTGTGAGGATGGGGAAAAGAGGGGAAAGGCCTGCAGCCTTGGAGTGCTTTCCTTCAAGGAAAAAGTACTGAGTTGATATATAGAGTTTTGCTCTCCACTCCTGCACATCTGTGGCCAGTTCCTCCGCTAATGTAAATTGGCATAGCTGACTTCTGACCTCCCATCTTAGAGTATATGGTCACAGTCTATACTTCAGAAAACAGCATTACACGTGCTGGTATAACCCATGCTATATTTCTCTCAGCAAGGCCTGAGTTTCATTAAGCTAGAGACTGATCACTTTTCATCCTATTGGGGAATGTTGTCTGTCTAAAGCAAAATTCCTCCTGCCCTCAAAAATTACTCTCTGCTCGCTCGCGCTCTCATATTAAGGAGACAGGCCCTGTATTTTTCAGAGTTGTCAGTTTATATATAAATATTATATGCTTTCCCTTGATTCCCTCCATATCTTACGTATTAGAAAAAGTATTCAGCTTTGAACGCTTGGGGTGAAATCCTAGCCCCATTGCTATTAATAGCAAAATTCCTATTTACTTCAACGGGGCCAGAATTTTCCACAGGGTCCTAATTTAGCTCACGCTGGTTTTCTACCAATGTGACCTTGGTAGAGTTATTCTAGCTTTACACCAGCATGAGATCAGAATTTGGCCAGCCCTTGGTAATGAAGGCACTTCACTTCATTTTTAAAAAGTCATCATGTGATGGGTTATTTATTGGGAAATTAACACATCAAGTATAATGATCACAGATTTTTGGTATATGATTCATCAAATGTATTCCATTTGAAGGAGTATACGTCTGTGGGAGATTTATTTCTCTATCTGAATAGGTGGAGATCCAGAGTTGGTTTATTTTAAGCTTTTAATAGAAGTTCTTCCTAAGTTTTTTGGATAATCAATAAAGATTGTTCATGATGTCATGTGACAACCTCAGGCAAGTCTTGTGTTAGTGAGCTCAATAACCCTTTGTAAAATCAGCCAGCCCCAGCAGCCTTGGGAGCTTAAGTACTGGTTCACTGGTGGGTGCTTTGGTAAGACCTAAGAGGTCTATGTGACAAAGCTGTTGAACCATTGCTCTTTCCTCTTCCTTCACACTCCCACCTGTATTTTATTATTCACCTTTTCCTGTCTTGCTTGACAAGATGTTTTTCCTCCTTTTCCTCCCTGTAGAAGTCTCGGCCGAGGTTCGGCCCTCAGCGGTTCTGGTCTGCTGTCAGTCCTGGTCCAGCAGTAGTGTGGGACAGCAAACACATGGTTAGGGGCTCAGGCCCTTAAGCAGGGGCTGAGCCAATAGGTCAGAAAAAGCCCCAGGCCCTCAATCAGGGCGGGGCAGCAACCACGCAGTCTGGGGCTCAGGCCCTCAAGCAGGGGCTGAGTCAATGAGCAAGAGGTCCCAGCCTCTCTAGGCCAGGGAAAAGGGGGAGTCTGCCACCCAAAGAGTGGGTGGCAGGGGGGACGCAGGCCCTCCCACTCCACTGCATCCCATCCCGGGGCCCTAGCAGCGGCAGAAACTTGCTGCTGTCAGTGGGGATCCTGGCCGCAACACACTAACATAGGCTCTGGCAGTGCTGCAGCCAGACTAGGGTCGGCTGCCCCTGGGCTACTTCCACACTCCCCCTCATAGGGTACCTGGCACGGACTAGTGTCCTCGGTGCTCTCCACCAGCATCGGTTCCTCCGGGTAGGTATCGAAGGGTAGGTTCAGCTCCTCCTCGGGATAGCAGGAAAGGGGCAGGCTCGGCTCCTCCTCGGGGTAGCTGGAAAGGGGAGGTTCGGCTCCTCCTCATGGTAGCTGGAAAGGGGCAGGCTTGGCCAGTCCTCCTCGGGGTAACGGGCGAGGGGTAGGCTCGGCTGGCCTGGTGAGTCAGCAGGCCGGTTGCGACCTGCTGCTGTCTCCCAAGCGGGAGCTCAGCCACAGACGTCTGCTCTCTCCACCGGCTTGTTCTCCACTGAGCTCTGCAGGCAGGCTTTTATACTTCCGGGTCAACGCCATGACCTCTGAGGGGCGGGCACTGGACCCGGTGGCTCTGCCCACGTTGATGTTAGGGGAGGTTCGGCCCTCAGCGGGGCTGTGGGGTATCCCACCGCCTCGCTACACTCCCATAATGTTTACATCCACTTAGAATCATAGAAGTTTAGGGTTGGAAGAGACCCCAGGAGGTCATCTAGTCCAACTTCCTGCTCAAAGCAGGACCAACCCCAACTAAATCATCAGAGCCAGGACTTTCTCAAGCCGGGCCTTAAAAACCTCTAAGGATGGAGATTCCACTGCCTCCCTAGGTAACGCATTCCAGTGCTTCACCACCCTCCTAGTGAAATAGTGTTTCCTGATATCCAACCTAGACCTTCCCCACTGCAACTTGAGACCATTGCTCCTTGTTCTGTCATCTGCCACCACAGAGAACAGCCAAGCTCCATCCTTTTGGAACCCCTCTTCATGTAGTTGAAGGCTGCTATCAAATCCCCCCCTCACTCTTCCCTTCTGCAGACTAAATAAGCCCAGTTCCCTCAGCCTCTCCTCGTAAGTCATGTCCCCCAGCCCCACTTCTGTGTGTGTGTTTATTCCTGTGCAGTTGGTTTGCTATAACCATCAGAGAGCACCCATGCAGCTTCGGAACGTACAGGTTTAAAATCCAGCAGTGGGGGGAGAATTGGCATCACGGGCACGGTACACTGTGCCAATGCTTTTTGGTGGCCCCATCAGTGTCTGCTCATTCTAACCTTTCATTTTTCAAAAGGAAAGTTCCTCATTACGGTGCTAACCTTACAAATTTGAACCTATGCAGGGTTGTCTGAGCTTGGGCCTGGTTCGCCATTCACCCACACTAGTGTAGATAAGGACTGACTCCTACCCTGATGTCAACAGAAGCTGCACTGGTGTAAGTGAGAGCAGAATCAGGCCCAATAGGTCTAAGTGAGGTGTGAACTTCCCGCATTTATTTCAATGGAATTTTAACTCGGAAACCTAATGATGAGATTTTTTTTATCTGGACTATGTCACAGCTGATCACTAGTAGGAAGATTCAGGGTGAAGTTTAGGATTATGGGAAGCATTTAGATAGAGTACCATCACTTCATTTTTTTTCCCAATGTGTCCACTGGTGAAAGCATTTCACACAAAGCATTGCCAGCCTATAGGGACAGGGCAAAAAATTGTTAGTTAGTTTAATGGAGGCAAATTATTTTCTTTCATCTAAAATGTGCTGCAACAAACAAATCTCCAACTGCCTCAAAAATGCACACACACAAAAACCCCCACCCCATTTCAAACATGTTCTCATTTTATTCATACATAAAATTTCATTTTTCTCCCAGTGGAAGCAGAGATCCAGGCCCAAATTTTCCAAAGGGGTTACAATATACAGACTAAAAAACTTGCAGATGCAATTCCAAATGCCACATCTCAAATTTTGGGGGTGCAGGAGCGTATTTGCAAACACAAACTGTATTTGTATGTGCAAATAGAGTACTGAGGTGTTTCCCTCATGTATGTGCAAATACAGTTTGTGTTCACAAACCAGACTCTGGCTAGCCCAATGGGGAGAGAGTGAGTAATAGCAGTT